AGATATGAACTGAACTTAAGTTCCTATATGATTCACTACTTTAGGTTACGAGGTGAGACTGTATTTATGCCGCGTATCCCCTAATATCGAATTATCTTCCATTTCAATTCAAACGCTTGCAGTTCCCTCTAAAGGTTTGTTTTGCAATAACTATCAATAAGTCGCAAGGACAATCTTTAAAATACGCTGGAGTTGACTTGAGGGAAGCCTGTTCCGCATGGGTAATTCTACGTAGCGTGCTCTCGAGCAGCTCTTTAAGATCTCTATGCAAGTGTAATGAAAAGAGTCTTATCTGTTAAAGTTTATATTACCACCATATATCTAAATTAAAGAAGAGATATCCTAATTTATTGATATACAACACATAATCTAAAACGCTGGTTATAGAGACTTGAAATTTGGAGGGTACATTTGTCTTATTGCGTAGGTAATAAAAGCTTATTTTTGGAAATTCTATCTTGAAGAGAGGTAAAAGTGGTGAAACGTTTCTATGAAACTTTTTTGTTTTAAAATCGATGAAAATAAGTAGTTGAGTAGTTTAAGGCCCTGAAAACATAATGTTGTATTTTATTTCGAAAACCACTACTTATAGGGATACAAACGGGAGTGGAAGTTTTTATGGAGAATTGAAATATTACCATAGCAACCATTGTTTATTCGTTTAATTTGTCACTGTAATAAATGTATTTAATATTATTTACAAATATTAAATTACATAGCGATGAAAATTGGTGTTTATGTAATTTATATATAACAAAACAAAATATTTTAAAATTTGTTTTTCTTAAAAATGTTCAAATAGAAGTAATTTCGTTTACGAAAGAAAAAATATTTTATATATTTTGAACTGTACTAGATGACGTTAAACTGGCGGCACGCTATGATGGCCGTTTTGACGTTTGTCCGCTCATGAAGTTCCGTATTAATTGATAACGACTTTGAAGGAAATAATTGCATTACTTTATTGACGATAGTGATGTGCAGAGATTCATAAGTTTTATCGAATGTAGTTTTAGGAACCAAAATTAATTTATTAAATTGATTTCTAAAATGTATACAAGTGTAGAAAAATCAGTTTGCACCATTTAAGGGGTGAATGTACTTGTGAATATGAACAATTTTCACTATGTTACTACCTCTGAAATCGCAAAAAATATCAGCTGTTTCATACAAAAGGTAAAATTTTTATTTTTATATGATATATGATAGGTGTACTTATTTATACCACAACTCGGCATTTGGTTTTCTAAATTGAAAATTTTTAAAAATGGAATCTAATGCGATCGTCACATAGGATCGCTGGCTAGCACAACTATTACCTCCGGCAAACTCGCGTCAATGCTCAATGCAAAACAAAGCAGTTTCGAATTAACGTTGCTTCGAAAAATATAAACTGTCAGTGCAATGCGATTGTGATATAGTTTTGACCTGGCTTTGGATTTCAAATATTGATATTGCATTACTGTTGACCCTTGCTCGTTAATTTGGACTCTGTTCAAGCCCTTTGTTGTGGATTTCGTCTATATGACCGAACGTACGCAGAGAACTGTTTTAAATAGTCAGACACGTGAGTTCGTAATACGCCTTCGGAACTATTTTGATCGTGAATCTCAAAATGGAGGGCCAATTTTACCTATAACGTCAGTGGTTGAACGCGTAGTTGATGCGCTTAATATTGGATAACGAACTGTTAGACGAATAACTAAAGAAAAATATGGCGAGACTGGCACAGAAGAAAATAAACTTCACACACCAAAAAGAGAAAACGAGCAAAACCAGTCGTAGGCATCGATAGCTTGATGCCGATGCTATCCGAAGACATGTTTACGGCTACTATTTACGGAACAAGTATCCAACAAGAAAAAAGTTGGTGCATTCACTGAAGGAAGCTGGATTATTCTTCAGTGGGGAAAGTTCTTTAACGAAGATTTTGAAGACCATAGGATTTCGATACAAAAAATGTAACAAACGCAAAATATTGATGGAAAGATTTGATATAGCGATGGCAAGGTATACTTTTTTACGGCAAGTGAAAGAAATCAAAATTGGCAAAATGTTGTGTTCTTGGATGAAACATGGCTTAATGCTAATCATACTGTAGGCCGTTCTTGGACCGATGACACAGCAGCATCTACGTCCAAAGTTCCTGTTGGAAAAGGATCGCGACTTATAATTTGTCACGCCGGAACCATCAACGGGTTTGTCGTAGGTTCTCTCATGGCTTTTGCGTCAAAAACCACTGGAGACTATCAAGAAGACATGAATGGAGAAAAGTTTACTGAATGGTTTACCTCAATGTTGTGTAGCCTCCCTGGACCATCTATTATAATTATGGACAACGCCCCATACCACTCGATGCAAATTGACAAGCCACCTGCCCAATCCCAAAAGAAAGCTGACATCGTCGCATGGCTTCGTAAAAATGGCGTAGATGCAAACATGAATATGTTAAAAGCGGAATTAGTACGTCTTTTAAAAGAAAACAAACCAACCAAGATCCGATACGTCATTGACGAAATAGCATTAGAACATGGGCACAGAGTTATACGGTTACGGCCTTACTATTGTGAGTATAATGCGATTGAGTTGGTGTGGGTTCAAATTAAGGGATATGCTGCAAGACACAATACAGAACCCCCATTTACCACAAAAAAACATGCTAAAATTATTAGAAGAAGCTTGTGAACATGTGACTAAAGGAGACTGCGAAAAGGTTGTGAATAGAACTGTTAAATTAATAAGGGAAGATTATGAAAGAGATGTGAAAATAGATAATATTATAGAAAACGAACTTATAATTAATGTAGGTGATGATAGCAGTGACGACAGTGAAAATAGTAGTATGGACGAATCTGATTAAATATGGCCTTTTGTGGCACTTTTTTTGGTATCTTTTGTATTCATATGTTTCTTGTGTGCATATAAAGTATGTATATTCATTTTCATTCAAATATTCAGTTCGTTCAAATATATTAAATAAACATTTACATTTTTGTTTTATTAAACCTATTTAATCAGGTACAAAAACAAAACTTATTTGTTTTTTGTTCGAGAATAAATTGACATTCCACATCACTATTGTAATATGTCAAAACGGCCATCATAGCGTGCCGCCAGTTTAAGTATTCTACATCACACTGTTGTGCTCAAGATGCAGTTTTAAAATAAAATGTAGTAAGAAATCTAAGCTTTGCTATACTAGATGGCGTTTATTCCAAAGTAATCTGAATCTAATAAGAATTTTGCTAAAATATATTGGATATTTGTTATTTTCTTTGTTGTAGTATCTTCGAACTTAAATATCAAGGTAATTTCATCATCAGCTCGAAAAACAACAGTGTTGTTGGAAAATATATGTTACCCAAAGTAACTGTACCACGCGGACGAAGTCGCGGGCAAAAGCTAGTTGTTAATAAAGGTAATAGGTATATATTTTTTGAGAACTAACGTTGGAAAATTACGAAGCGTACAACTTTTGTATATTGTGAACGGTAAGACGAGTTTAATTCCAAAATTTCAGATAAATCTTTCAAATAAAGGTTTTTACGTTAAATGACTAGATTATATAAATCTTTGCAGAACTGTAATTTCATAGGTATCATAACAATAAAAAGACTCCTTCTAATGTTTAATTATTTATATAATAAAAAACATATCAAGGTACAGCTGGACGGATTAATTGATATACTTTTCACTTATTTAAATTTTAACATTGTATTCAATATTTCATATAAAGAGTGGCATCAATTCTGTTGCACAACACAATCTAACCTATTTTTTAATCTTGTCAAACTGTGTTTTCAAATGTGAAAATAACTAAGATTGTTATCTTAGTATTTTTTTTTTAAGAGTGGAACAACAGAATTTGAACTAATGTCTATTTAAGGTTATTTAGAATGTATAAAAAATATTCATGAAACATACAGCCAGTTGCACAAACATGCATTAAAATTCTCATTAGTTTAAAGCAACTTACCCACACAAATTTGACCATAATTAGAGCTTAAAGGCGTCATTAAACCTTAATGGACGCTTGTGTAATTGACCAATAACATCGTAAGTTCGTTCCATGCCGGGTATACAAAGCTCGACATTCACGGACAGTCGAAAACTGACAAGCCTAAAGTAATGAATATGATTGTTTTTCTCGCTCACTGGCATAAAACTTGGATTGGCTTTCATTTCTCGACCACATGCAGACGTACAATAGGACTATTTTAGCTCTTTATTTATATATATCGATTCTATCGATAGTGAAAAACACGGAATACTATCGCTAATATTTGTAATTAATACATCTAGCCTGTTTCTATTATTACTTAACATAGAATTATAGTGCACAATGATTTGATATAGAAAAACGTAATAATCATATTATTAGAAGAAGCAAAACAATCATACAAATGTAGAAGATTGATAGACCAAACTGAGAAACAGGTAAAGTACAATATCCTTGTGATGAGACTAAATAAAAATATATATTGGAACACTTAAAACATATTTGAATAATCATGAAATTAAGAAAATTTATAAAATAAAGAGACAAACTTTGTAGTCAATACATTCAATAACAAATTGAGAATTAGGACCAAAATGGATTTATATTAATTAGGTAACTATGTATTCTCCCTGTCTCAGTCAAAGATTTAATATGAAACTGCACCTTTATTTCTTTTTTAAGATTGTCACAAATTAATACTTTTAGTGAGATTTGTGCAAGAGATTCATTTCTGACTATATCTTAAATACTAACCTTTTTTTATGATGAATATTAAATACTTCTCCATATAGATATCAAGATTTTTCCTTCGAATTATAAAATATTGTGTTCTTACACATATGATTATTTAGTAGTTTCATATCTAGTTATTATAAGCTTTATAGTGATCTTCAGTCATTGTGGCAATAAGGCACATCATTACACACACAATACAAGTCATCATTTACGTAGACAACTTCAACATTTTTGAAGACCTAATATTTTACAATAGTTGTTGTGAAATAGTTATCTTAATCTATTATTAATAAAAAAAGTACATTATGGAAGCTGACAATAATAAAGACATAGATGATTTGACATTAACAGAACTGTTACATTCGTCTGATGAGCAGTAACACTCTTCCCAGTAGACACCGTTTGCATACACTCCCCAGTTACATACACCGGTGACTCCAGTGGTTGCGACTGATGCACAACGGCGTATCACTTGACGCCATCTGCCATCCCCTTAAATGATCAATCAATTAAAAGTGTGTTGAATGAGAACAACATAAACATATAATGCAAAGATTTTAAAATAAAATACAGTAGGATGCACAATTTTCCAATACTCTGGCCTCTATAATTTTGTAGATAAAAGCAATTTTTAATTAATAACACCTAGCATTTTATGACTAGCATAGAAATAACTATAGATAAAATTTTTAACTATCCAAATACCTTCTAAATTTATTTTGAATAATACAATCCTAACAGATCAATTTAAAAATTGACTAGGTGTTGTGGTATTATTTTTGATTTCCATAGCATAAGGATATTATGTAACTTGGGATATGTGTAATATCAATCATGTTAAAATGCCTAATTAATTAATGATTGGTTGTGGACTGACTTGATTGATCTAATTTAATTCATTAATGGCAGTTTTGGCTAACAGGGTTGGGACTCTATAGTAGAGTAATCAACTAGCTTAGCTAGAGAAGCTATATTTTATGTAATATTTATTAGTTATTGGTTGTGTGTAAATAAATAAATAATTACTATTATTATTATTCAACCCTCAAACCAACTACATTTTTTTATCAGACAAAAGCATTTTGAACAAACATACAAAATAAAACATATGCAAACTTCACTCATGGTGGGCAACAGAGACATTTTGAAAAACCTAATTTATAATAACATTGTCATATTATTTAATGTCTGATATCTATAGCAAAAAGTAAGAGCACTACTTTAAAATGTACTACTTTTAAATGCATCCTGTGAACATATCTGGACACTAAAGTTAGGACCACAACATGTTCAAGGTTGCTCATACCTGTTTTACACAATACCCAAATATCTAACAATAAAGCAAATTGTGCTAGTTATGGGGAAGAGGGTTAACAACTTACCTACTGAATGAAGAAATTTATCAAAAACATTATGGCTTCTTGTTTCTAATATATTCCTCTTTGTGAGACGAACCCTACAAGGTACTCTATCTACCAACTGATTGTCGAATGGTAACTTGTTTGTCACACTGTGCTTGATTTGCATAACTCTTAAGTTACACAGCTTATGCTCTGACCTAATAACTTGAGTTCAATAACTTGACTTTGCTATTGCTACTAAAAATCAATTTTTGTACTCGAATGTACTTACAAATGAAACCCTTAGGACCCTGTTGAGTAAGTTTCATACAGAAAGATCCAGGAGTGTGGGATTCTTCACTACTGCATTCTACTGCAATGTGGGTATCTCTATCGAATTTCTTGTATGCACCACATGTGTCTTCTCCTTTAGCATCTTGGAAAGATGCACATTGATAACACCTAACACAAAAACCTGAAAATATGTAATCAATTCGAAGTTATATACAGAGACAACGCTAAATAAAAAATAATATAGACTGGCGATTATAAAGTAATAAACACCTGCTGGCAACGCACAAAGCATTAAAAAAAAACATATCTTAATGGTCATTTTGTTTAGATAATTAAGAATTATAAAAACAACTAAACCAACACCCAACTCAACCACAAAACATGTACACAAAAACAAAACGGCCAATTAGAGTAACTGTCAAATGAAAATCTGTCAATGTTTGATTGAAATTAATAACAAATAAGGATCTAGCTCATACAGCCTATTGATATCGTATGGTACAAAATAAAAAATTACAATATCGATTTTCATATGGTATAAATTAACAACTGTTAAGTGAAAGTGGGATGTTGTGAATATTTAAAGCTTCTTTAACGCTTAAGTTTTTTAATTCTCTAAGGTGCAACGACATCTCATACAGCCTATTGATATCGTATGGTACAAAATAAAAAATTACAATATCGATTTTCATATGGTATAAATTAACAAGTGTTAAGTGAAAGTGGGATGTTGTGAATATTTAAAGCTTCTTTAACGCTTAAGTTTTTTAATTCTCTTAGGTGCAACGACATCTCATAAAAAAGCACAGGTAAAGTAGAACATCGGTTAAAGCTGTTCTTGAATTAATGCCATTGGCTTGAATTAAGTTAAGTTTTTTAATTCTCTAAGGTGCAACGACATCTCATAAAAAAGCACAGGTAAAGTAGAACATCGGTTAAAGCTGTTCTTGAATTAATGCCATTGGCTTGAATTATACATTTTTAACATGATAACAAATAATTGTTGGTACTGTAAGTTTACATGTCGATTTCATAGAAAAGTAATCGATTATTTCCCTATCGATTATCTGAGACAGACCAAGAAGAAGGGAGCGGCCAGTGCTGCCAATTTAGCATTTTTATGGCTAAATTTAGCCTTTTTTTCTAGTGATTTGGTATAATTAAATTGAGTTTAGCATATAGCATATTTTTAAGCATTTTACTGAAAGTAAAATATCTAAAGATATTTTTATTTTTTTCTTAAAAATATATGTCTGAACTATAAGAAAATAAATTTCTGAACACAACCTAAGAGTGTTCGTAGATTTATTATTATTAGTTTTTTGGTGAGTCCCTGATCAAATTTTCCAAAAAAAGGGACTAATGAGGCTTATGCATTTACGTCATCTGCTCCACACCTACCGGCTACATGAACGGCTCAGGATACCGACGAGGGTCTTCGAAATTTATTTATAAATGTTTCTTTATAAAGAGTTTTAATAAATATCCTGTTTCTCTGATAAAAGCATCTTTTTAAGCGTTTTCGAAAATATTTGGCATATTTTTGGCATTTTTTTAAAGCCTATTAAGCAGAAATTATTTTTTTGAATTGGCAGCACTGGGAGCGGCGTTTTGAGTTTTGGTTTAGCATTTAATTTCGTGTTGCTGTTTTTAATATTTTTTTGTTTGGTTTTTATTACCGATTTTATTAATTTTTTTACTATTAAATTATGGCATATTTCAGTCAATGTATACTGTCACTCTGTGTATTACTTTCTGTTACGCCGTATGGTATGTAACTAAATTCTTTGGGTCACGCCCATATAACAGATCATAATAATAATTCTTATTAGTTTTCAGTATCAAGTGTTGGGATTGTCGGTCAAATAATGATCCAAAGTGTGCAGACCCGTTCGATAACTTAACCGTACCAATAACAGATTGTAAACAAGAAAAAGGTTTGACGCACCTTCCTGGAATAAGACCTACTATGTGCCGAAAAATTCGGCAAAAAGGTAATTGCTTATAATTACCTACGGCTTATCATTCATAATGAATATGGATTTACTATACTATACTAATATTTCATTTCAGAGTAACAAAAAAAAAAAAAAAAACTAAATGCCATCCTGAGATGGTTGATTTTCTTTCCGAGTATACTTCCTTTTATGTTTTTTTTTTACAATAGTATATTCAACAGCTCATTAGGTTATAACAAAATGTCAACATAATGCAACAAATTTTGAATTCTACTTGCAAAGTATTAAGTGATAAAGAAAGTTACTTCTAGAAGTCCATTATTCATGCAACATATTGTATTTATATTTTCAGTAAATGGTGTATGGCGATACTTCAGAGGTTGTGCTTATTTGGGTGAAGTTGGTACCCAAGGAGATGAGAGATTCTGTCTCATGAGAACTGGTACATACAACATTTTTATTGAATACTGTACTTGCAATAGTAAAGATGGATGTAATTCATCTTCATTCTTGAGTCCAATGCCGTTCCTCTTAACGGTGCTTATTCCTTATATATTTAGAATACTGTTGTAATATTCATGCAAAAATTGGATTATTTTATTAAATCTAATCAAATTATTTGATTCATAATTTTGAGAGATTTAAATACCACTGATAAAATACATATAGTACTTAGTTAATTTCTTGAGAATAACAAGTTTAATTTGAATTATAAATACTAATTCTTATGGTGTGTTCATGAAACAGTTCAAAAAAAGCTGTACATATAAGACTACTCTTAATTGACAAATTTGCCAGAGCAAATTAAATAATCACAGTCCACTTTAATATTTTAATGATTTTAAGTTCATTAATTATATTTGAACAAATTTGCATCAACAATGTTGATTGATATTTATCTTGTCATCCTATCTCAGGCAATTGCCACTGAAGACTTTTTAAAATAATATTTTTAAACTCATATGATTTGTATACATTATAATTATATGTAATCGGGTCTTGTTCATGCATTATTTTAAAACTATTTATTTACCTCGACATTTCGGTTATGTTGCAGCAGCCGTGGTCACCATGTGACATAATGAATATGGATTTACACAATCCTTGCACGTACAAGACCCGATTACATATAATTATAATGACTTTTTAAAATATTTTTATATAAGAATTAAGCTCATTTTAACAATGAATCTCATCTTTTTACTTCTGCCATGTGGTGTGGAGAGATAATTTGTAGCTGTATAAGTGATTGTCAATAGTAAGGATGTTTTTTTTTTGCAAACACTTATGTCAATCATATAATATATAAAACTGAACTAATTTTCTACTTTAAAATCTATTACAATCACTTTGAATTTGACATTTGAAATATATTCACGAACTTCACATTACAACTATTTGACATGTGATATTGTGATCGCGACGTTTTTTGAATGATATCGGAATGAATGATAATATTGATTTGAAGTTATTGGAATTGTCTAATCAAAGTCATAGTTACAAATATTTTTTAAAGCTATTGTGAAATGTCAAACAAAAAGAATTGTCTATGATATATCATTCAAATCATCATTCATTCCAAAAGCGATTGTGATAAAAAGTTACATAATTCCATAAATCAATATGACAACCGCTATTTCTTTGAAAGGGATCATGACATATTTTCAGAGCCTAGGTTTTGCTAATGTTAAGGTAATGATGGTGTCTCAATTAGTTGCAGATTGTTATTATTTATCTGATGCCAAATATTGTAACGTCTTCAGAAATCAATAATGACAGATATATTAATTACTTTGTGCCTTAGCAACAAGAGTTTTCTTAAAACGGTTGTCGTTGGAGCACCATTACATTAGTAGAATTAGGGTACAGTTCATTAGTAAACTAATAATTTAAAATTGCTGTATGGGATTTTTAAAAAATATAATACTATTTAATTGAATTGCACAAAAACACATCACATCTTTAAAAGTTATTAAATACCTTTGTTTTTAGATATATATTTTTAATAAGAATACTTATGATACTTGTATTAATAGCAGCTGCTAAATCCAGTTAGGAGCTCCCACAGATAACCTCTAATTGATGATGATGACTATCTTGTTAAATAAATAAAGATGCCTTAGCGGTGGGGTAGGTGGCGGGCGAGGTAACTGCGGCGACGCTATTGGTTAGTACAAAGACACTTAGTCCTTAGTGATGAGAACCATAATGTGATAAAGGCATGTCGATACTTGATCGATATCATGTAAATGTAACCATTGGATATCATTAAAAATATATTGTATTATATATATTTTATTTGATTCGCAATTAATAGCACTATAAACTGTAAACTGTACACTATAAACTGTAAATAATTGATGAATAAGGTATCCAAAGGCAAAGTTTTAGTGAACGAACAAGTTGTAATTAAAAATAGAAGAACAACATCATATTTTAGAAATATTAATATAATAACAATTGAACAAGTATATTATAACAAGTATTAATAATAACAAGTGAATACAAGATCACCCAAAACGTGAATTTATAACTCTGATAGAAAAAAATCAAAATTCCCCAAAAAATATCAATTTTTGCAATTCTTGTAGCACTGTTTTACCTTTCACACTTTCTAATTTAAAGCTCTGATAAAATACAAAACATACATAAAATAAGTGTTGCGCCACCGCGCTCATATAAAAATATTAAATTAAATCTTCAAAAAGGGATTAACTTAGACGAAAAATGCAAAATTGGGAGCTTTGGACTTTAATATAACGAACAAGTATTAAAATAGTATAAAACTTATTAATGAAATCTAAAACTACATATGTTCTGAACCTTCTTGAACTAGTAAACTTAGGTACTGTTAGTATATGACAAATATTGTTTATTAGCCTCGGAATATTTATGTGTACTAATTTGGTCCAGATCTGGCAATGGCATTTATGAGAAAACCATATAGGTCTCCAATTTGCATTAAGTATGCGAGATGTTTGTTACCCCAAAACTCAAAACATCACTAATATGCATGACATAAAAACCTAAAAATTAAAAAAACTGAAAAATATCTTTAAAGCGGTTAAATTTTTTAATAAACATTGAATTCGGGCGGTTAATATTTTATTAACTACAGAAAACCTCAGCCCGACTTTAATGTTTCTTAAAAAATTTTACCGCATTTTAAGATAAGTATGATATTTCCCTTTTTTAAAATTGAAGTCGGTTCCATTTTTTGTTAAAATGATTTGTGCAGAATCTTACATGCTTGGCTACAGCTGTCTTTCAAGTGGTATCTACTGGAGGTTATCTGTTGGTCCTCTTAATAACAACTATCTGTTACTTGTATGGAGTACGGTCTTATAATTTTATCTATATATTGTATTTGTGTACTGCCTACTTAAAAATAATGTCAACATTGATAAATGTGTAAACTACGCTTTTCATCCATTTGATATCTGCTGAGGTTGTTTGTACAGTAGCATAATAAGACTGATCTGATTCCGTCCATAATTTTTATAATTAATAATAAGATTAAACTGAAAATAAAATTGTTTTTTTTTTTAATCTTCCTATGGTTTTTGTTTGACTACTTGCTGAATGAATATTAGTGAAGTTTCATTAAAACATGGCTGCACGCAGTTGCAGTTAATGGATTTTACCCTTAAAATATTAAAATTAAAAATCAATTGGAGAACATTTTGAGATTTGTTCAACCTATAACTCCATTCATTATAACATTAGAAAAAAAGAGGGTCATAGAAGCAGCAGTGCAGAACATTTTATTTTCAAGATAAATTTAAAAAATAAATAGTAGTTTTTTTGAAACTTTGTACGTTTTTGTAGTCTGAAAGAGCTGTACAATTTTCCATTTTTTATGATATCTCGGGGCTGAGATGAGGCCAGCATTTTAAGTAAGTGTATATAATTAAAATAGAATTTAGTTATATCTATGCCCAGGAAAGAAAGGTAAACAAAAGGATTTTTTTATTATTACCTTTATAAAATTTACTCAGATATTAGACTATTGATGAAGAAATTGGAAAAACTTCCTGAAATGTCAAAGGTTGAGGGTAGGTATGGGGGCTTAAAGCGTAATTGTTGTAGTCCACTCGGGCCTGCACCGGCATCGTCCATATTTAACAAAACTTAACTTGACAACAAAAACAAAACCACAACAAAACAGAAATAAAACAAGAACAACTTAATAACGGAAAACGGCAAAACTACAAGAAAGAAAAAAATCCCAGATTACGTATTTTGACAATTATGAATATATCACAGTCTGACAAAATTAAAAAGTTGTACTGCCGAAACGTTTGAAGGGATAAGGCAATATTTTAAATTTGGTAGAATTATAGTGACATGAGAATCGTGCCGAAACTATCCAACCCTGCTTCTTTAGGTACTTTATGATGAAAACTTTTTATGTAAATGTTATTAAATCATTTAAGTTAGTCAAATACTCATAAATTTGTTTAATAGATAGTTTAAGTGACAACAGTTAAGTATAGCAGCTGGTATTTAAGTGGATATGTATCAAATTAGCCGTCACTTTTAAGAGTTTTAACATGATTATTGATATTTTGTCACAAAGTATACCATAAAAAGAACCTTATTTAACTTCTGTCTAATGCTATAATGAATGGAGTATAGCATGCTGTTTACTGTATTTATTGACTAAAAACGTTCAACTATTATGTTACAAGAACGAAGATATCACAAAAATTGCTTAAAACGTAGTATTCTGATAAATCTACTGATTTATAAATCTTAATAAATGCATTTCAATAGTCTCAATGCATTTTGCCATTGTACTATCTGAAGTTTATTATTATTTATTAGTGCAATGACTTCCTCACAAATCAATGATGACCTTGGATGTTTTTATCTATGATGACGTCAGATAATTTATTATTCTTTCTCTTTTAATTAATGGCATTGCTCTTCTGGATTTCGCTGAAATCTGTAAATTTTGTGACATGGAGAGCGCTATTGACTTTCAATTTCGCACGAAAATTGCCCTACTGTAAAACATTGACAAATACTTAGATATTCTAAGATAATACGAGACAAGTTAAAATAGAATTATACTCTGGCGTCTTTATACACTTGTTTAAAGTAATCGAACTATTTTGATAGTAACAAGCAAACTGGTTATAAAAAACAAACACGCCCATCCATTATGATAAGTATTGGGTTCTAGGCATTGGTTGATTGAAGTTGTTCAGTTGTTGTTGTCCGTGTTTATTTAATTCTGTTGTAATTAACGATAATGTATTACTTCAACAATATTCTGAGTATATTCATACTACTTTCTGTCATGCCTTACGGTAAGTACCTTCCTATAAGTATAATCATAAAGTATCAACCTGAACTAGATTAATATAGTTTATTTTTGATAAATTTTGCATTTGCAATGCAAAAAATACTTACAAAATTTCAACCTAGCTTTTACTATTTATTTTACTATTTTTACATCTTATTTAATAATAAATTACGAATAATAAAGAATATGCCACTGATTGAACCATTTATCTCAAATTTTCTACCAAAAGGCATGTCAAAATAGTATAATGAAAAGAAATATTGTGATAACATTTATGATGGAAATGGATCGCTATAATGTCGTATCCAATGGGTAGAGAGTTTGGCGGTGGCTATCCTGAAACTGTTAAATTTTCAACCATTTTTCTCATTCTCTATTTATTAGTTTTCAGTATCACCTGCTTTATATGTAGTTCGGATACTGATCCACTGTGCGCAGACCCTTTTAATAACAGTTCTACACCGTTAAGTGATTGTAAGTTTATGAGAAATCCGCATCGTGAAGTATTACCTGCTGTGTGCCGAAAAGTAAAACAAAGAGGTAATTATTTGAGGCTTATATTTTTTAATCCATCCAATTTTGATATGTTTCACTGCATTAGAGTAATAGTATTTCACGAGATTAAAACCATGTACGTTATTTTTATTTAGCGCTGTTGCGAGCGCCATGATCACAGGTTAACTGAAGTCCTGCGGGTGGATGATAATGCAATAGCCCGGAAATATCAGCGACTAGATAAATATAAGATACTTGATAGCAAGGCCATAAATAACTATTAATCTAACGTTAATACCATAAAAATAAAAAAAATCCAATGTATTGTATTATTCAACAAATAAATCATTTGTATTTTCAGTGAACAATACCTGGCTCATCACCAGAGATTGTGCCTATGTTGGTGATGTGTTGCCTTCAAACGGAGAAGAGATCCACTGTGTCACAAGCACTGGTTCAGATAACATTTTGACAGAATACTGTACTTGTATCAACAAACGGGGATGCAATTCCTTTTAAATTGATCAGTTCCTTTTAGTAGAGTTAATATTTAAATATAAAAAACTAAATAAACAAAGTAGGTAAGAAGTTATTTAAAATTAACAACCGCTTGATATAATAATAATAATAATTGACACTTTATTGCTCACACATAATTATTAATATTAGGAAAATAATATTGGTACTAATGATAGGGTGGGCAAAGGCCAATATCTGTGTTATCAGCATTTTTTACGTTTATATTATCAATGGTACCTACTAACGTTTTTAGGATAGAGGTTAAAACGAAGAGCATACATTACCTACAGTTCGATTAAGCGTCGAAATAGTTTAGACCAGGGGCTCCCAAACTATTTTAGGCAAGAGACCCCTCGTTCAAAACTGACACCTCAGATTGCCATGAACTTATCTATGCATATTGACTTTTTAAATGTTGCTGAAACTACAACAACGATAGTCCTTTTACCATACTATTACAATAGTCATTTTTATAAGTTGGGAGGTAGGTCATGTGCCACAATTTGTACAGTCTGACTTTAGAATTAAATTTAGTAAAGTCGACCTCTGGAAAACCGACTTTCATCCCAAGGGGTTGATATCGAACACTTTGGGAATCCCTGGTATACCAGGGATTCCCATACTATAGTATAGACTCATGATTGTACATAGGTATAACCTTTTTTTCTGAAACTACTGGCTGGATCTGAAAATTAATAAAACCTAACACTGGCTATTCTCCGTTGGTTCAGAGATGTGGATAGAATTTTGGACGAAACAATGATGAAATTAATAAATGATTTTTTTATTTGTAATGTTTAATTTATTTTAAACCTTCTTTTAATTTCTAATTTCTTGTATGATGTTTTCATGTCGACAATTTCACATCTATGTATCAAAAAGAGACAATTAGGCGTCAATTGAAAATCAGTGTCAGGTTTAGCAACCTGACAGTGAGCTGAATTGGCTGCCTATTTCGGTGCAATGTGTGACGCATTTTTCTTTTTTTAATTATATTTTATTTAATTTATTGTTATTGGTAATTATTATAAAATGTTTTAGGTCTATTTATTTGTGCACCGGAATAAATACATTTTTCTTTCTAAAACTTACAACGCGCAAGTGGAAGGATCTAGTCAGGGTTGGAACACATTTAAAAAAAAAACAAATATGCATGTTAAGATATAAAGGAGTAGTGGATATGCACCGCGGCACGCGATCGTTGTCGTTAAGCAAATTTCGCAAGGGTCGGTCACGGGATGGGTGACCAAAAAATTATTATCTCGAGCTACTCCGTACTTCGGAAGGCACGTTAAGTCGTTGGTCCCGGCTGCATTTGTAGTCGTTAATACCCGCCAATCATCATTGGGTCAGCGTCGAGGGCCATGGTCCATGCTCCTTAATCATCCATAAGGAAGGCCCGAGCCCCTGCAGTGGGGACGAAATAAAGGGCTGATGATGATGATGATGATGATATAAAAGATGTACAGTCGGCCGAGAAAGTGGTCTACCACCCTAAGGTTAAATTTCGCGTGTTACGTCAATTAACAACAAGGTTGATTTTCCGTAGCATTAATTTTTTGACACGTCAAGTAACGTCATTATTGCTATCTTCATCATTTTGACGTAACCTTTGACAGTATTTATCTATACCTATAATAAAAATGTAACAAGGTTACATTTGTAAGATATTTTGGAAAAAAAAACATATGGACGGCCTTCATAAGACTAATAGAAGCCAAAAATATTTTTTTTCTGTCTGTCTGTTTGTATGTTTAAATACTTTAGAGTTAGAATATCGTAAATAAAGTCTTATAGTCTACAAATATCCTACATTAGAATGTAGATAAATTATATTTTAATACAAATAAAAAAAATCAGTAGGTAGTGAAATGCTATGCGTAAGAAGCTATGCGTGTTATAGGTCTGAATATACTGAGATAACGGATAACAGAAATGAATAGCGACGAAAAACATATTGCGCCGACCCATAGCTTAGTGCGAGACAAGGGCTAAAAGTAGAAGAGATAGTGAAAATGCTAATTCTTTGGTTGTTAAAAAATATATACAATTCTTTTATAAAATTATAATTCTTAAAATCTTGTGTAGCCGCCATCTGCCTCTATAACAGCTTGGAGACGTTCCCTCATCGAGCCCACCAGTCTTGAGCAGATATAAGAGGGGAAACGGTATAGTTATTGGCCAGTTAAGCGACTTCAATGTAGAAAGCGGGAAGTAAAAAAATAAATAAATATTTGTAATAAATAAAAAGTTGTTTCACGGAATCTATAGAACTGTATTTATTAACTTTCTTTGTTTACCTACATTATTTTAATATATTGTCTAAATAAAATCAAATTAAAAACAAAAATATAAATTTTACAGTTATTGGCCGCACTATAGCAGTTATTGGCCTTGAGATCGTACAGTAATTAGCCATCTTTGAAACATAAAATAAAATAAATTTAAACATCAAAAATAATCATTTTCAATAATTAAAATATACCTATATCCTCTTGAGTACTCTCATCCTCAGACAACTCAGAATCATCGTGTAACAAATAACATTTATGGCATATAAAATCAGAAAGCTCATCTTGATCCGGAATGTGTTCCTGGTGTTTATTAGGAATGCACTGAGGATGGTATGATTTCTGACAAGAGCTACATAATAAGGACTTATGTTTAACTGCTAAACGATGGCATGAATCACAGGTCACTACTAAAAGGTTTTGTAATATCTTTGGTTTATTTCTATCTTTATTTAAATTATCTTTTCCATCACTACATTCTTCACCTTTCATTTCCTTGTTTTCGTTTACCTCATTGGCATCATTTAAATTTTTAATTTCAATCGTTTCATTTTTTTTGTCGTATCCATCACTTAGGTTTTCCTTTTTTGTTTTCTTCCCTACACCTTTACCTTTTTTTGTCTTCATAAGAGCAAGTTCTTTCTTTGCGGTTGCTTGTTCTTCTCTTTTTCTTTTCCTTTCTATTTTTTCATTCTCTTTTTGTTGCTTTTCAATTTCCTTTTTCTCAATAGCTGCTCTAAACTTTTCGGATGTAATGACAAACGGCTTTTTTTCTATGTTTCTGACGAATTTCCGTTTATTTTCCGGCGCATTTGATAGGTAATCATTTATTGATTTTCTGATAAAAGAAGTATCATATGAGGTACTAGGCGTGGTCAAATCTACAGGAGTTTTAGTGGGTGTCATAGTAATTTGTACTTTTGTCACATTATCTTCGCAGGAAAAATTTACATTAGTGGTTATATTATTTGCAGTCTGTATTTCAACACTGTTTGATTCATTCTGAGGATAATCACTTTGAAAAAAGCACCACAATTTGTATAGTGTAGGAGATTTATCGTTTAAAGATGTACCTTTAGATTGCAGTTCTTTCAACTTGTTGATCATATCTACTCCTACAATATTTTTGAAGTCTTTTATAGTCATATGCTTATTATCGATATTGGCGGCTTCATCAGATTTTTCTGCAGCTAAACATTTAGAGTAATCAATAGCATTCTCGTTAAAAGGACATAGCCCACACGTTCTAAATCCATTGATTATACTATCAGACTTTAAATTATCAACGACTGTTTTTAAAATCTTAGCAATATTTAACTTTGTCACAGCCTCTCCCACGTTTTCTGCTTGAAATTGCCGAACTGCTTTGCGATACATATTCTTGATTGGCCCAAATATTGATACATCTGCCGGTTGAGTAATACGAGTAGTGTTAGGATAAAGAGCAACAACTTCGATTCCTAGTTCCTTACACGTTAAACTGAGCTGTAAAGTAATGTGACTTTTGTGTCCATCGATAAATAGGATAACTGGTTTACTGATGTTGTTTACCTCAAGGTATGGCGCCAATATGTCAGTGACAAACTGATTAAAAACATCTGCAGTCATCCATCCTGTATCACTCCGTCCGATACCCCAATGTGGCGGCACCGACGACGCAATTTTTTCCGGGAGTCGTTTGTAAGGAAATACTATTAACGGAGGACATGTTCTTCCATCAGCAGAAAATGTGAACAGTAATGTGATATTTTCTTTGGTGTTTCCTTGTTCGACGGCATAAACATTTTTATCACCTTTAGCTGCAAGAACTCTACCTGTAGAAGGACAAAGCTGAAAACCTGTTTCATCAGCGTTAAAAACACGTTGTGGATCTTGAATGGCCTCCAATAGATTTTCAGTAGTAAAATAATCCTTAATTTCTGCGAACCATTTTTTTATATCGCTCTCAGCCACGCAGGCACTAGCTTTAGAAACGCCCTCACTGGTTCTTTGACTGATATCGGGATGACGTTTTAAAAAAGCTCTCAGCCAGCCTTGACCAGGCCTATTGTTATTAAACGGAGTATCGCGTGGATTTGCAGTCAAAAATTTTTGAACAGTATCGAGAACATCATCTGCTTTTCTCGGAAAGCCTTTGCGAGACATTCTGACTAACCAGTTTTTAATTGTATCTTCCTCTTCATAAGTTAAGTATGGCATTGGCCCAAATTGAGATCTCGAAGTAGGATTCCTTAATTTGAACTGTAGAGTTGCTCTTGGAATATTGTACTTCTTTACAACTGCTCTCAAAGACATCGTTTTGTCATTAATTTTTTCCAATGCCTCATCAAGAGCTTCTTTGGTGTATTGGGGTTTTTTTGGCATGGTGTGTTTTTTACCAGTCTACCTATTGGAATAGAAAAAAACGATCATTGAATTTTAAAAAATACGTAAAAAGTTACACAGTAATTGGCATATTTTTGTATTGGTTAGTAATGTAAGTGGCACAGTAATTGGCCTAGGCCAATAACTATTTACAGTCCTCTGAAATATATGGAGATTGAACTGGCCGCATAATTTTAAAAATAAGACGATAACTCTCTATTAGAAACGCTCTTTACTAAGTATAGAATAAATATAGTAATGGGCATAAGAGGCCAATTACTATAAATTGAAAAAAATACAGTGACAGTTATTGGCCATAACAATATTTTAGGTTATAATCAATTTTTTCTTATATCACACCTTAAATCCGCTAATTAAACATACAAACTACATATTTTATAGGTTTTCAGTTACTTTACTACATTCATGTTTCTAAAATTATCATACTTAAAATATCTAATGTCTTACAAAATTTAAATTAAACTTACTTATTTTTGCTCCAGTGCCACAAAATCACAAATCACAAAAAGACCGTTACACCTAACAAAACTTTTTTGGCGTTATTTGACAGTTAGTAACAGTGTTGCCAACATAAACTTTCTGTATCTTACCTTTGTTAGCTTAGTTGGTAGTTTTTTAATAATTAAATTCAATTGGCCAATTAGATTCCTCATAACTCCGTCTCATGAAGACTCGCTGACTCTGAGTATCTGATATTTCAGGTCTACGACCGCTACGACTCCGAGCGTTCAAATTCCCCTCCTCGCTTTCTCGTCTTATCCAAAGACGGACAGCTTGTCTCTATAATCAAAAATAAAATATGAACAGAAAAAATAAAAATAAAAATTTATACTCGGACTTGGTCTGAGATTTTACATTAAACTCACGTCAGACAGAATAATACTTACCGACACATTTAATTTTCTAAAAATCTCACTGATATTCAAACCATCATTGTGTAATGCGATTATTTGTGCTCTTTCGTTAATGGATAAATTTCGGGGCATTGTAGTGTAAATTAATTAGGAAAATACCTACGGAAAATGCCGAGAAAATATTTGACATGAATTGTCAAGTGATATATTCTTTTTCAGTAAAAGAGTTTTCGTAACAAAATAGTTTCCACTTTGAAGTGACCTAGTTACTTAAATTTTAAATTTATGAAATATTGTGAAGACTATTTGTTGTTGCAAATTATTATCTAATGCATAAACATTTGTGCTCTACGACAACACGTCAGCATTGTGCATCTCTTTTATTGTTTGTATGCAATTCTAAGATTCGCCTTTAGCGATGCTTTAAAGACACGGGAAATGTTGTCAAAACTGGTAGACCACTTTCTTGGCCGACCGTACCTACCTACTTATGTTAGAATAGTTTGGCTTTTCTTACCTTACTCCGCCAGAAGATCTAGTGTAACCAATAATATAATGTTAACTTCAATTTATGTTTGCGAGAGAGTTATGAAGCAAACAAACACATCTTAGCAATAGTTTAATTTTTTTTCTTCTGGTGTTACGCTACGGAGATATTTTTATAATTATGTCAAAAAGTAATAAGCAATGTTTTAAACAATATTTATTTGTTATCGATAATTACATTAGTGCCTTATTTATTAAATAATATTAACAGGTCTATGCTAACTCATGTGATTTTTTTTATCTGACTTTTAATTAGGGCATATCTTTTAATTAGACAGTACTAGTGATTACATGAAATTATTTAAAAAAAAAATCCATTCATGCTCATTTATTAGTAAGTACATCTAGCAGTGGTTATTACGGAATTTTGTATGTTTATATTAAATTACATATTTTATATTTTACTTATTATGAAAATATTTACAGTTAAAAATATTTGCATCCACTTATTTATTTATTATCTAAATTACAATAATAAGGCTTCATTGTAGATTACATTGTGACAGAAAGCTAATCCATGGTATTATTGTTAGGCATAACTTTCTCGGTTAAAGAAGTGTGTTCGATAAAATCATTTTGAATATAAAAATGTAGAAAATAATATTTTAATCACATTTGAATTTAAATTGTTTAAGAACAAATATTGCTATTAAAGCTAAATCAGGCAATAATGTTTAAAATCTAAGTTACGTCAAATCAAAGAAACTTATACCTATTATTGGCAATAAAGATAATTGTGAATCGGTAACATTGTATATCTATAATATCTAAATAACAAAGTATACATCATAATGAAAGTACAAACTATTTATATCTATAAGAAAAATGTGCAGTATAACGGTAATAACTTAATGTTACGGTGGGCACTTATTCGTTATTTTAAAAGGAGACATAATCACGTGATACCATTTTAAATGACTGAAACTGAATTTGTACTATACTTACATGAAAATGTCTGACCTGTGTTCACGGTGCTAATTTATATTGAAAGTACTCGATGTATTATAAACATAAAACCTTAAGGTCTCCGTTTTTATAATTAAAAAAGCTATGTACTTTTACTTTTTCTACTTTAATTATTACCATGTTTACGTTACAAGTGACCATATTAGCTGAAAATTAAACCAGGCTTGAAAATTAAATTTTATTGTTATAAATGTCTAATTAAGTGAAGATCCCTTTTAAGAATTAAAATAACCGTGGAATTAATTTGGTCACATAAGAAAATAATTTTAATTATGAAATCATATGATTATCTCAATTTTCCTCAAGATTTTGAAATATAGAAATGTAGAAGTTATATGCACTAAACATATAGATATAGATAATATTTATGTAATTATGACAAAATATTTAGTTTTTACTGCTTATTTTTGTATTAACAAAAGAATGCAATATCTTTTTTTTTTCTTTGTAATAAAATATGTTATAAAAGCAGCATTGTGTTTTTAACATCTTAAAGCTTTTAAAACTATTTGTACTAATTTATAGTTCCTCCACTACTTATATTTCTCGTTTCATTGGTCATTCAAAAAAGATTCCCCACAATATTTTAGAATATATAAAAAAGTCGTTGTTCTATTTTTAAATTAAAAAAGGTCACGTAATAAATCTACGCTGCAAAGAGATTTCTTATTTAATACAACTAAAACTTGTATAAATTAAAAAAATAATGTCTTCACAACTCGTATCATACATAATCTACTTGAACAGCAATAGACCAAGTGGTGCGAGCAGTAAGGCTATAGTTTTGCCAACGGTTGCCGCTCCGTTGCAGCCGTCGTATTCGCAGGTTTCGCAGGAGTATGTGACCTCGTTGGGGCCATTAGAGGTGCTCGGGCAGGTGTTCGTGAAGTCGTCTTGACGTTTCCAGGTGCAACCTCTTGAGACAACCAGCAGACCGTTGACTGCAAATTAGAAGGGAAATATATATGAAAACAAAATATAAAGAGTTTTTATTTCATATCTTTTCATTTCGAAAGCTGAAATAAAAAAGACAAATCATTTATTCAGTCTAGTCGGTTACGAGTGATTGTAAAAGTCACAAAATAACTCACAATTCTATATTCGAATTTAATGAATAAAAATACTGTGAAAGGGTATATTCTATTTCCTCAGGGAGTAGGTAGTAGGATTTTATTTTTAATACATATAAATATGTTAAAAAATGTGTACTCAAGTTTTCATTTGTTATAAAAAATGTGATTTCATAAGTCTTTAATGTCATCACATTGATATGGCATTCAGAGATATCTTAATTATACATCACATCTAAATTTAAATAAGAAATTGGCTCACGTATCACGATTGCATCAACTCATTCCAAATATCTCATGAAAGTCGCTGGTAAAAGTTATTTTTTAATAAATTGATTTATTTTTAGTAGATTTCTTAGATTGTTTGGTAAATAATATATAAACTCATCAGATGCTTCAGACGAATAGTGACATAGTTATAATATCGATGGATTTTTGAAGTTGGTTTATACGAATCTTGTAATGTTGATGTCTCTGTTTTTCATCACGAATGCGACAGCCACTCGAGATCGGACAATGTGTGCTCTGTTTCATAGGTACCACGACATGGAGTAATGAATCGAATATACTAATATAATGAAGTATATACTACGTTATATAAAAAGTTTAAAATAATCTTAACATTATTTCATTCTTATTTCGTATCGACCGACGTCCTGAACAAGTGGTAGGGGAAAAAAACTTTTTTGGACGATTCAAAAGTGCTTGTAATAGCCTTCTTGAATAAAGATATTTTCATTTTCATTATTCGTACATACATGATATGTTGTAACTGTGATTATTTTATTTAAATGACAAAGAAAAGTGTCCGTAGATTTCAAATTCGAACAAGGATTATATTAGATTTTAATACGTTTTAAGGAGAGCTTTAAAATTATGTTCGTCATTCAACATCATCATCATCACCAGCCTATTATTTTCCCTACTGCTGGGCTTAGGCCTTCCCAATGGATAAAATCGAGTCAGAACATAAAGGTAGGTCATTATCTGAAGTAAAAGTATCGATAGGAAAACTGTTGACAATTACTTGCGTATTTGCCTATTTTATAACCATTAAAATGATTATTTCGAGTTTTAAAAAATCATAAATGCGAATTCCGTTGCTAAGTCACTTATCACGTAAACCTTTGATTAGGCAGAATAGTATTTTCAACTTCTTCAGAATCGGAATTAAAATTAATTATACCTACTTTACCTTGTATCCATTTCAATAGTAAAAAATATATTATTTATTTGTACAGAATAAATTACACAATCAAACCGTAAACTCATGTACAACACTATAGATTTTCCATTACGAGTAACGCATAAACATGTGGTATAATTAAGGGCGTTAATGTAGAACAATAGAATTGCACATAACATAGGAGCTGAACAAATGACATCTTCCGTGTGAAGAGTGCCATTGAAATATAAGTGTGTCACATTAAAGCAAAAAAATAAAGATATCACGAATTTCAAAAGCAATCAACGTAGAGGCAAAAAAGAATAAAGTTCTTAAAGATCTAAATGTTTTTTTTTTTATTTATGTCGAGAAAAACATGCCTACATACGTCGATTACAGAATGACGTAACATATATTTTAATATAAACCTATATATCCTCTACCTCTAGGGAGGTAACACACTAATGTAACTAACTTGTCCTAAAGAAGACTATTGAACGTTAGATAACATGAAATTTTAACTACTTTATACTCAACAATGAAATTAGCACATCCAATATATATATTGTCAGTGATTTTGTCATTAGACAAGTTCACGAAAAGAGCTTAATATGTAGAATACCTAATCAAAAATCAATTATTTATAAAAGGGGGATGTGAAAAAGAGAGAGAGTTATTTTAACTATTTTGTGTCTACATAAATATTATGAATATGTTTTTTTAATTAATTATGATTATAACAAGGTCTAAGCCTTCGGTCACGCTATGTCGATGGAAAATCTAATAATGATCGTGAACAAATTTCATCCTTGACCTTGTCAGAATCGTCTGAACGTAAGCAGCAGTCGCAATTTTCCTTGCATTTTGGTTTCTTCAAGAGTTCGTAGTTGCTCATGAAGTTCTACAGCTATTTAAGATTTAGGTACCTAGTTATTTACCATCTGAACATGTTAAGTTCTTGATAGACGACAAGAGCTTTCGTGATAGTTAAATCTTATACATTTCATACTATAATTAAAATTTTGATGGATTATTAAATGGCATTATATCATGCGGTTAATGTTTAAAGTCGGTATCATAACTCGCAATATAAACTGACATTGACCATTACGAGTTGTTTTTCATACGCACACATTACCAGGTGTGGTCACGTTCTATTATAATAGGTACAAGAAGCAAGGTCACAATAAGACAACGACATACGCCATAGTTATTATCCCATTTGAAAATTGTTATACATACATGAAAAAAACTACTGTTGATAATAGGGAAGAGGAGTTATTCGATGGTATATTAATAATAAAGTTATTGAGATTAACATTATTAATGAATCTAATACATATCAGTAACTTTGATTGGATCAGTATCACAAACTAACATTAAAAATCGATCCAATTAAACTTTATTAAGCACTTTATTACACGAATAAGGAATTATTAGGAGGGTCGGGTGATAGGGAGGAATATTGTTGTCACAAGTCGGTTATTGAAGAGTAAGGGCGTACTCTGTTTGATTATGACATTTCTGTACGACACGTTTGCAAAGGGGCTTAAACCACAACGTGTGCAGCAGAATGAAATAGAAAACAAAGATTTTGAAAATGCAATCTTAAGTGGCAATAGATAACATTAAAATAATAACAGTTGCACACTCACACCTAGCAAATTCTCGCCTTGAGCTAAGTGATAAATTTATTAGACACTGATATACCTCAGTTTGATTTAAAAAATAATTTAATGTACACGGGAAAAGAGATCGAATAAGTATATTATCTATCGAGAATTTCATCGGAACAAATTGCCTGTAATAATACTTACTGTATTTCTTCTGTTTTTTGCAAGCAGACTTGGAAGAGGTCAGGTATGGGTATGTGGCTCCCGTGGTGGCATCGCAGTTCTCTAATCTAAATAGCCCGCTGTCCATAGTATTACCCACCAGGAACGGGTCTTGGCAGAGTGGGTTCAGGTCGGAGGAGCAAGTCCAGCACCGTACAGATTCACCTGGAATTAATAAGTAAAATAAGTAAAAAAAAAAAACCAATTTAATAAGTAAAATAAATCGATAATAACTCATCACATAGCGAATGCAACATAAATTCAATTAATGTTGTGTATGTGCTAAGAGGATTAAGTAACACTCAAGTATTATTGCGAATATGGCAGATGTGTTAATGGGGATCTCTCCGATTATTGAAACCATAATTTACAGTATTTGTTCGTTTTTGTATTCGTAATATATATTACACCGAACTGTGCCTATTTTCTATTAAATTTTAAAATTGGAGACAAATTTTATTAGCAAATATTTTGATGTTCTTTATGAAATGGTTTGGCTCTACCATTTAATGTAAGTTACTTTGGAAAATACTCTGTACACTAACAATATAAGGCGAGACTGTACGGAATCACAAATTTTTAAACCAATTTTATTCTAAGACTATGCTCATATTTGCTGAATAAAAATAATTTTATGAAAATTAAATATATGATCAATTGTTCGCTAAGCATAAATTTCAATTATTGGCTCGATAGAAAAAAAAAAAACGTAAAGATACTAAATAAGTTTTTTGGATTGATTTTGCGACTAATATATTTAAAAAAATTTGGTTTGATATAATCAAAATATACAAAAGATTTTTTTATTGCTGCATTTGTTCTTATGTGATTGAAAATATGTGAAATCAAGCGAGCGCGTCTTAACTCTCGATGCGCAATTGTTTGCGACATAAGCGTAGTTACAAGAGAGCCTTAACAACTGATCTAAAAGAACATACAAACTCGTTGTGGTGTTAATTATATTTAAGGTCCAGTTTCCACCCACGCTACGTTTAAAAGGTTTAAATGTTTGAATATCAGTGAGATCATAGTATTATGGTTAGTATTACTGAAAGTATTATCAATTAGATGTTGAACCTTCAGATCAGGAATCATTTCACGTGGGTTAGTAAGCTTCTTAATATGTAATACTTCTGTTTTCCAATGAAATATTTAATTAGGTCGATTATTATGTATTAATTTTATTAAATCTAAGTACATTAATAGGGATGACGACTGGTTAAAAAAAATGTAATTCTATTTAGTCCATCAGTCAGATAATAGATTTTTTTACTTCAATTTAATAAGAAATAGCTTAGATAACAAGCATTAAAGTTGAGGAATGGGGGGCTCACTACGTCACAGTTGAGTAGAAAAGGTACCGTAACGTGAGGTCATGCGAAATTGCAACTCCATGTATCGCCGTAATTTTATGATTATGAAAAAAATAAATAAAAAAAAACGTGTTTAATATTTTTTAACACTCTACCTGACGGACAAACAAACAAAAATTAGTGATCATCCCTATTGTACAATGCTTTGAGTTTATGTGACTACAATCGACTAATGAAAATATTACTCCTAAAAGTATAAAATTCACAGGAGGTTATTAATTTGTTCTGTATAGTAGACGTTACAGCTTAATTACTTTAAGTTTTTTATTTGCAAAACAAAATTGATAAAAAATTTCATCTTTCATTTAAAAGAAAAGAGTTGATAGTAGACTTAGCACCAGTACTCGTATTCGATGTCTTATTGAGAAAAAACTTCTTTTAATTTGGATAATATACTTCATTTAAGGAATTAATAATCTCAGAACTAACAATTGACATTTATTTGTAGTGATATATTGTATGCAAATTATTTTATCGGCCTTGTATAGTAGAACTTACACAGTTACAAGGTAATTTTCATTTCTTCTCATATCTATTTACCGTTTTTTACTTCCATTATTGTCTGTAACCTACATTTCAACAATTGTGACGATGACTACAAGTGATCCTACGACTTAATAGTTTCATTTGTAGCTTAATTGTCAAGGTCTTTCTTATTACTTGACATCTAATGTTTTAATTGATATGAATTTGCTGTAATAATTACTCGTATGTGAAAAATCACCAGAATATTTTTAATGATAGCTCTAGTAAGTAAAGTCAATAATTAACTATCTGAATACCTACCTTTTGTAAGTCAATTCGTTGTTTACATTTATCGAAGAAAAAACATTAAAACATGTTTAAAATATGATAAATAATCACAATGTCAGATACATGATTAGCTTATTACTTGTTTAGCTTCAAACGACTACCGATGACATTTTGGGTGAGGTCAGTAAATGATAACATTTGCGAAAAAAATTGATAAAGTTTTATAAAATAAGAAATTAATCTAAAAACATAACTGTAAAATATTTTTCTCATTGCACGACTGATTCCGCTAGCTTCGATTTGCCCTTGAGTATTATGCGTCTCAATGATAATTTAACACGAAGCAGTTTTTCAGTAAGGAATTGACCTTCATTTACAAATAACGGAAAAATTCAATGGTTTTCTTGTAGGGCACTACATCTGTGTTTGTTATAGGGCTGTCATTTGTTACTTAAAAGTCAATTATTTAGTAATCTTTATTTTGATTGAAAATAAAATGATGTAAATGACTTTTATAATACGTTACAATATAAAAGAGAAAATTTATGACTTAACAAATCTTTTTTCTTGTGATTCTAATTATGATTACAATATGCTTATTATAACAGTAAATTAATGATTGTGATTAGAAAAAGAAAAAAAGGAAACAATCCATCAATACAGAAAAAAAATTAGACATACTATTGCTTGGATTTAGTATTCTTATGTTCTTTTTTAGTAGTGCAGCTGATGTATTAGTCTTAATTATATTCCATTTTTAAAATGCACGATTCACGTTAATGACTTTTAAACAGTCATTATCGCGTATGAAAACAATGTGATGACCCTACCAAACTTTATCGTCCGCTGAACATTGACAATGGAAGGGCACTTAAAGTATTCACTTTTTATTTATTGCAACTTGTTTTTATTCGTTTATTTTTTTATAGAATATAACATTTTTGAAGGAAATACAACTGAAGCGAATCAAGATGGCATTTCAAGTTAAAGTTTTATTTGCTCGCAGAAATACTCGTACAATATTATTTTTAGAAGAGAACAATAATCAAACAGGTTCGTAATGTTACAACATTTAGTAGGTGAGGTGATAAAATATTTTGTGAAAACTGTTTTAGGCATTATAAAAACTTGTACACTTTTTTGTACCTATATCTCTGACTAGTGTTGGCAAGTGTGAAAATCGGGACGTCCCGTGCAAATCAGGTCCCGATTTTCAAGGGTCTATGGATCCCTCCCAGTTTGCACTTGGTCAGGACGCTAAATGTCCTGAAAACCCGATGACTTTACTAAATCTACTGAAAACTTGAAAAACAAATAAATGCTTTCCTTCGACATTCGTTCGTCCATTTTACAGAAATATTTTTTATCCCTTCATTAGTCTTGTGTTTCTAAACTAAAATTACAAAATTAGAAACGTAATATTTCGTAAAATTCTTAATGAAAAATGATTAAAAATCCAGCCTCAGGTCCCTCGAGACGGGATATCATCAACAGCTCTGTTACAATTTTACTACAAGGGTTCAGGTCATCCTTATGGATGGTTAACGAGGATGGGCCATGAGATGCAGCCGAGACCAACAGATAACGTGTCTTCCGAAGCACAGAGTAGCTCGAGATAATTTTTTCTTGTTACCCATCCCGTGACTTGCCGAACTTCCGTAAGTCATTTATCAACAACGATCGCGGACCGCTGCGCTTATCCTACTACGCCACCGAGCGATGGGATCGAGATGGGACATAGCATTGTAAAAATATAATAATTTCATAACATGTTACGTTGCCTTTCCTTTTTAAACAAGTAGGTAATATTTAATCTTAAAATTAGTGCTTCTCGTTTAAAAATAAACTGTGTTAGTGCTACATTCAAGTGGGCATAATTTCATAGTAGACTTAGCACCAGTACTCGTATTCGATGTCTTATTGAGAAAAAACTTCTTTTAATTTGGATAATATACTTCATTTAAGGAATTAATAATCTCAGAACTAACAATTGACATTTATTTGTAGTGATATATTGTATGCAAATTATTTTATCGGCCTTGTCTAGTAGAACTTACACAGTTACAAGGTAATTTTCATTTCTTCTCATATCTATTTACCGTTTTTTACTTCCATTATTGTCTGTAACCTACATTTCAACAATTGTGACGATCACTACAAGTGATCCTACGACTTAATAGTTTCATTTGTAGCTTTATTGTCAAGGTCTTTCTTATTACTTGACATCTAATGTTTTAATTGATATGAATTTGCTGTGATAATTACTCGTATGTGAAAAATCACCAGAATATTTTTAATGATAGCTCTAGTAAGTAAAGTCAATAATTAACTATCTGAATACCTACCTTTTGTAAGTCAATTCGTTGTTTACATTTATCGAAGAAAAAACATTAAAACATGTTTAAAATATGATAAATAATCACAATGTCAGATACATGATTAGCTTATTACTTGTTTAGCTTCAAACGACTACCGATGACATTTTGGGTGAGGTCAGTAAATGATAACATTTGCGAAAAAAATTGATAAAGTTTTATAAAATAAGAAATTAATCTAAAAACATAACTGTAAAATATTTTTCTCATTGCACGACTGATTCCGCTAGCTTCGATTTGCCCTTGAGTATTATGCGTCTCAATGATAATTTAACACGAAGCAGTTTTTCAGTAAGGAATTGACCTTCATTTACAAATAACGGAAAAATTCAATGGTTTTCTTGTAGGGCACTACATCTGTGTTTGTTATAGGGCTGTCATTTGTTACTTAAAAGTCAATTATTTAGTAATCTTTATTTTGATTGAAAATAAAATGATGTAAATGACTTTTATAATACGTTACAATATAAAAGAGAAAATTTATGACTTAACAAATCTTTTTTCTTGTGATTCTAATTATGATTACAATATGCTTATTATAACAGTAAATTAATGATTGTGATTAGAAAAAGAAAAAAAGGAAACAATCCATCAATACAGAAAAAAAATTAGACATACTATTGCTTGGATTTAGTATTCTTATGTTCTTTTTTAGTAGTGCAGC